AGCCCTGAAAGAGGGGAGTGGGGCAACAATCCTCACTCCCTTAATTTAGCAAGGTGATGAAATATACTGTCCCATTAAAAAACATTAAAATGTATCTTCATTTAGAAAAACAACAAAAGTGGAAAACAACATACCCTTCGGAAGCTGCACAAGGAGAGCTCCTAGAAATATTGTTTCCCTTCAAAACCGAATGAAAGTTGATTAGTGAAAATGCATCATTACAAAATTTGAGTTTTTAAAAGCAAGAAAATGAACGGTTAAGGACATTGGCAAAAATCCATAAAGAGACTTGTGACACTGAGCGTCATAACACCTAATACCTAACTTTAGGTGCCTGGAAAATCATAGGAACAACACTGGAATTCACAAAGTCTGAAGTAGGCGCTTCAGCTCCCTATACAATTAATGCGGAAGATAATTGCTTTAAACTGCAATTCCCCAATTCCTGGTACCAGCGTCCAGTTGCTCTCTTCTTATAATACTAGCTGTTATAAGCACTGCCCCTTTCATGAAGATATGCATCTAAGCCTGGGGTCATAGGCAGGCACCTCTCTCTCTGCAGTCAGGCCAAGTAGGTGCCTAAATTATTTCTTGTGAAAATGAATTAGGTGCCTGCCTCATTCCACACAAAAAAGCTCAAGGAGTTAGTGTTAACTACCTTATAACTTTTAAGCCCTGTGGTTAGAGCACTCACTGGGATGTAGGAGACCAAGGTTCAATTCCCCACTCCCTGTGAGAAGAATTTGAACAAGGGTCTCCCATACTCCCCAGAGAAAGTACTGTAAACACTCAGCTCTAGGAGATTCTGATGGCAGGGGGTGCCTTCAATCTCTTCTGTTGAAGCTGTTCCACTAAATAACTACTTAAAATTCATTGTCACAGGGAACTAGACCTTGGGCGCCCAAACCATCAGGCTAGAGTCAGCAGGTAGATGAATCATTCTAAGCGTTTATCCACAGTAGAGCAGTTTCAACAGGAAAGACCAGGGGAGCCACATATGAGAACATCCCACAGCTCACTGATTAGAGCACCTCTGCTAAGATGTGGGGAGACCCTTGTTCAAATCCTCCCCGCACCTGCAGGCAGAGGGGGTAAAAAAGAACCTGGGTCTCCCACATTCCAGGCAAGTACACTAACCACTGGGCTAGAAGTTGGGGAGGGTACTGCTACCTCCTCCCCAATGGAAGCCACTGAGCATGCCTACCTAAGCGGTTCTCACCTGCGAATTAATCAGATGAACACCTGTCTTCCTCAGGTTTGCAGATTGGTCTAGGGGTTGTTTGCCAGAAGCTAGGAATGGGCAACAGGGGATGGATCACTTCATGATTACCTGTTCTGTTCATTCCCTTTGGGGCACTTGGCATTGGCCACTGTCAGAAGACAGGATACTGGGCAAGATGGGCCTTTGGTCTGACCCAATATGGCAGTTCTTATGTTCTTACGTGAGAGATAGTCTAGGCAGCTGCGGCCTAGACTAAGCCTGCAATGGATGTGCCCAGAGGCAGAAACTTAGACATAGAGGGAACTTTTATCCTGAAATTAGACACCAAGTCAGTTTAGACATCTACAGGGTGTGAGGGAAGTTTTGTAGATCATAGTGGAGCCCAAAATTGGGACTTAAGTGCCTAAGTAGATTTGTGGATCTGCGCCATTGTAACCATATTGATGAAGTAACCAACTAAGTCGCAGATTATTCAAACTCAATTCTGAATTTCTTGACCACTGGGTACTTAATTTGAAGGTTTTTCCTCTCCACAGAGAAGTGATGTCTTCCGATGATAAAGAACTAGGGCTGTCAAGCGATTAAAAAAATTAATCACAATTAATTGCACGATTACGAAAATTATTCACACTGTTAAATACAATATCAATTGAAATTTATTAAAATATTTTTAGATTTTTTCTACATTTTCAAATATATCGATTTCAATTCCCACACATAATACAAGGTGTACAGTGCTCACTTTATATTATTTTTGATTATCATTTTGCAAGGAAATATTTGTAAACAAAAGAGTATTTTTCAATTTGTTATACCAATAAAATAAAAACGAACAGGATCTTATTAAAGTGGATAAGACAAAATGTCACATTTATTGTGAATACAAAAAGAATCATAGTAGGCAGTCAGTTATAGCTATAACATTTCATTCAGTTTCACATTCATTCACACATTTGTTCATACACACACACAGGTTCTGCAGCTGCTGTATAGTTACCAGTCCTGAATGTAGCTTGAGTTCGTGGCTTGGGTTTGTAGATTGTGGCGGCTAACTGGCTAGGAAAGCCGGGCACAAGGAAGAGCTAGGTCTCTGTTGAGCATGCACCGATGCCCTTCCATGTTGGCAGCAGAACGTTACCCTTCAAAATCTTCCATCTCACCCATCCTTTTTGTAGGCTTTAGTTTGAATCCAGAGTCTATAGGTCTTGCTGAGTCACGCTGCCTCTGGGTCCGGTGTGATTGATCACCCCGTCAGTTGCAGATATGACTTTCAGCCTAGGACCTGGCTTTGATGTTTCTTCAATTGTAGTTTTGTTCTTTTCCTTTGAGGGTGGTCTCCTCCTACTTTGTCAGGGCTGTTGTCTGCATTTCAGCCATTGTGGTTTACACTTTATTTCATCAGGACAGGCTGGAGCTGGAGGTTGAGTCCATCATCCATACATACCTCATTCACACATCTAAACTAAACTAAACTAATATTACAGCAGGGTTTTGCAAAAATGAAGGTTGCAGCAAGCTTTTACAAAATGAAGTGAGCATTTTAAAATGGAGTTTGGGACACGTTAAAATGGAGTTCTACTTATAATATGGACAAATGTAAGGAATGGCAAACAGTGAACAGAAGTTACAATGTTGAAACAGTGTAAGTTTCAGCGATTTAAGCAGCAATTGGATTGAAAGTGAAACTCAATTAGCCAGTTATTGGGGTAACTGGTTTTATGAATGAATGTTGTTTCATTCATAAAACTTTGCTTATGAAGTTATATTAATAAAGTGATTAAAAACAATTTCATTGATCAGTTCTACAAATTCACCTCATACAAGTACTGTAGTGCAATCTATCGTGAAAATGCAACTTACAAAAGTAGTTTTGTGTTACATAACTGCACTCAAAAACAAAGCAATGTAAAACTTTAGAGCCTACAAGTCCACTCAGTCCTCCTTCTTGTTCAGCCAATCGCAAGAGAAAGAAGTTTGTTTACATTTACAGGATGCCAGATGCACTAAATATTCATATGCTTCAGGCTTTGGCCATCATTCCACAGAACATGCTTCCATAATGATGATGCTCATTAAAAAAAGAATGCATTAATTACATTTGTGACTGAACTCCTTGGTGGGAAGAATTGTATGTCTCAACCCAATATTCATGCTTCAACCACCATTCCAAAGGACATGCATCCATGCTGATGATGGATTGTGCTCCATAGCGATCCAAAGCAGTGCGGACCAACGCATGTTCATTTTCATCATCTGACTCAGATGCCACGAGCAAGATTGATTTTCTTTTTTGGTGGTTTGTGTTCTGCAGTTTCCACATTGCCCTTTTAAGACTTCTGAAAACATGGTCCACACCTTCTCCCTCTCAGATTTTGGACGGCACTTCAGATTCCTAAATCTCGGGCCAAGTGCTGTAGCTATTTTTAGAAATCTCACATTGGTACCTTCTTTGCATTTTCTCAAATCTGCTGTGAAAGTCTTCTTAAAATGAAGATGTGCTGGGTCATCATCCGAGACTGCTATAACATGAAATATATGGCAGAATGCAGGTAAAACCCAGAGTAGGAGACATATAATTCACCCCCCAAGGACTTCAGTCACAAATTTAATTAATCCTTTTTTAAAAAACAAACAAAAACAAGCATCATCAGCACAGAAGCATGTCCTCTGGAATGGTGGCGGAAGCATGAAGGGGCATACGAATGTTTAGCACAGGGGTTCTCAAACTGGGGGTCAGGACCCCTCAGGGGGTCGCGAGCTGTCAGCCTCCACCCCAAACCCTGCTTTGCCTCCAGCATTTATAATGGTGTTAAATATATAAGCGTTTTTAATTTGGGGGGGGGGGAGGGGATTTGCACTCAGAGGCTTGCTATGTGAAAGGGGTCACCAGTACAATAGTTTGAGAACCACTGGTTTAGCATATCTGGCACATAAATACTTTGCAACGCCAGCTACAAAAGTGCCATGTGAACGCCTGTTCACACTTTCAGGTGACATTGTAAATACGAAGCAGGCAGCAGTATCTCCCGTAAATGTAAACAAACTTGTTTCTCTTAGTGATTGTTTGAACAATAAGTAGGACCGAGTGGATTTGTAGGCTCTAAAGTTTCACAGTTGTTTTTTAGTGCAGTTATGTAACAAACAAAAAACCTATATTTGTAAGTTACACTTTCATCATAAAGAGATTGCTCTACAGTACTTGTATGAGGTGAATTGAAAAATGCTATTTCTTGTTTATCATTTTTACCGGTCAAATATGTGTAATCAAAATAATATAAACTGAGCACTGTACACTTTGTATTCTGTGTTGTAACAGAAATCAATATATTTTTGAATGTAGAAAAACCATCCAAAAATATTTAATAAAGTTCAATTTGTATTTTATTGTTTAACAAAACAATTCATTTTTTTTTTGAGTTAATTGTGTGAGTTAACTATGATTAAATCAACAGCCCTATAAAGAACACAGCATACATTGACACTGCTATTTGTTGTTCTACAGCCCTTTTGCATAGATTCAGCCCTCAAGCCTCAAGATTGAGTAGATTTAGCCCTCAAGATTTATGCATGTTTGACTTTATGCAGCAAGTACTCTCTTTGAAGTTTAACTTTATGTACTGAGTAGTTCCATAAAGATGTTTAAAATCTCTACAGGATTGGTGTCTTAGTGAGGTTCTGAGATGGGAACAGAAAATCAGGGAACTTGGAGATATTGGACCAAATTTAGCTCTGGTATAAGCAAGCATAACTCCACTGAATTCAAAAGTGAAACTGAGTATTTGATATTAAAAACTTTATTTAACTACTTGAATAATTTACAACTGATATCAGAATGAAAAAGTATATATTTGTCCAGAGCAGATGTGTATTCAAACCAAAGTTATCAGTGTACTAAAATGAACCAGGTCAAAACAGCTACCTCTTGAATTCACATTACCGGGCATCAAAGACAACCACTGTAATAGTTAGAGTTAAAGAAAATGACAGGGAATTTAAAAAAAACAAAAACAAAACACAATCACAAGTCAGTCATGCAAAATAAATTGAGGCTCATTTTTCAGTTACACCACAATTAGCATTTGTTTGTATGCTTTTAAAAAATGGAATATGCTTTGCATGCATAATAGTATCTTCTATCCGGTGTACTTTTTACCAGTTTGCACTGCAATACAAGATTACCAAAGTTTATTGTATTGTGCTTTAATTAACAAGAGCATCACTGAAAATAATTAAGATGTTATATGTTCTTCCTCACATATGTACTAGTTTGTAAGACTTTTTTGCACTGGACCAATTCTTCAGTACTACCCCAATTTTTCATTTTATTTATAGCCACTATCATCCCGGATCACTCAAACAATTTAATAGGCATGTGCAAAAGGATACATCTTTTTGTTCTCTTCTTGTACATTATTCTGTACCCACATTCTCGACACCTGATCGGATCTCTTGCTTTTATTTCATTTTCTGTATGACATTCTGGGGGGCGGGGAGAAGAAGAAGAAGACAATCTTATTAGACTACTATAACAAGAAATACAAAATGTAAGATGTTATAATTTACTTTAGGAAAAGGTAACAAAATTCAAGATCTGCATTTGTGGCAAACAAAACAACTTTAGTGAATTAATATTACTGAGAAAATCAAGTTCTTGATTTCTCTTCAGGGTAAACACTTTTAGCTAACCTGTAAAGTTACAATTTATGTTCTATTACCTTTAGTAAAGACAAAGTATGTGGTATTCAAATTACCTAGAATAAATCTATTGACATATTACAAAATGCGTTCACAAATAATTGCCCATTCCGTGCTACCAGCTGAGTGGTATTAACATATTTCAATCCAAAATATTATATAACTGACCAAAGTGACAGGAGGGCGCTGTGGTGCTAACAACTCACTCTAAAACAGGGGTTCTCAAACTGAGGGTCAGGACTGCTCAGGGGGTTGCGAGGTTATTACATGGGGAGGTGGGGGGAGTGTCATGAGCTGTCAGCCTCCACCCCAAACCTCGCTTCACCTCCAGCATTTATAATGGTGTCAAATATATTTTTAAAAAAGTGTTTTTAATGTATAGGCGGCGGCGGGGGGGGGGGGAGGCCCCACACGCAGAGGCTTGCTGCGTGAAAGTGGTCACCAGTACAAAAGTCTGAGAATCCCTGCTCTAAAAGGTTGGAAGCATTAAGAAATACTATGTTTTGTGGAGTACAACCCCTCTCTCTGGTTGCTGCTAAACCATCTACAGGGATGACTTCTCCTTGCATCAAAGATATTTCTGAAGGACAAAATTATTTTGCCTTTTGATTGCTCCAAATGGAAGGTACAGTATTTCAAAAAATGCCCCCTGAAGACAGTATCTCAGACTCAAATTGTAACAGTATTGTAATCCCTCTACAAGCTATTGCATTTGAACACTGCCCCTAACAATTTTGGCTAAAAGTAAAGTGACCACATAGGCTTTTCTCCGAGATGCGATCGTAGTTTTATTCTTATTTACATAGATAAATATGGGGAATACTGTGCAAATATACTCTACAAACACTGCACCACATTACAAACAGAGCAGCTTATAAAGGTTCTTGGAGAGAACTGCAACGTGTTACCCTTGCCCAATGATGGAAGTTCTAAAGAACTATTTCCACATTTCAGAGGAACAGCCGTGTTAGTCTGTATTCGCAAAAAGAAAAGGAGTACTTGTGGCACCTTAGAGACTAACCAATTTATTTGAGCATGAGCTTTCATGAGCTACAGCTCACTTCTACAGCTGTAGCTCACGAAAGCTCATGCTCAAATAAATTGGTTAGTCTCTAAGGTGCCACAAGTACTCCTTTTCTTTTATTTCCACATTGTCACCACTCCATGAAGCAAAAATCCATCATCTTAGTATAATTATTCTGCACCATTTGCAATCAGATGGCATGCCACCCTGAGCAAATAATGCAACTTATTACTAATAGTGATGTTAGGTTCAGCAGATATTATTTCTCTCTCTCTCTCTCACACACACACACAGAGCATCTACATAGCAACATTCTACAGATCCAGTTGTAGGTCCACAAGCCATCTCAAGGCCTTCTCTCTGAAGTTGTAGATATCATCAAATTCACCTTTGAATCCACATTTGGGGCACTGTGTTATGATGTGTTCAATGGTTTGCATGTTCACAATAGTCACAGGAAGGGATGTCTGATTTTTGTTCGATGAGATACAATGTGGTCCACAGTCTGCATGGCAGGTTGAAACTGGGACAGTGGCTTATTGGGTCAGTAATAATGTGCTTGTCTGGAACTGTAGCGGAGATGCAGACACTTTGCCATTCCCTGGACAGATCCAGGGACATGGGTGGTCCACAGTGGTTTTCACGATTTCAGGCATCGTTTGGGAATGTTGCCTATAGCCTGCCAGATGGGAAGTTCTGGGTACTCTTCGACAGGGTGGATAAAAATCAATGATTTAAAAAAAAAAAAAAAAAAAAAAACCACCATCGGATTTTTTTGATAAAATCCTTTGAGGAAAAAAACATATCTAAAGATAGTTTTAATTAAGATACATTATAGCTTAAAGATATCCCTATTCCACAATGAGATTATAAATTCTAAATCTATAGTATGAGACAATATATTCATGTAATGTTTAAGAAAAGTTTTGTAAATGAGTTCCAATAGTTCATGGATTAGGGTCCCAATCTTATGGGGTTCCACAGGCTTCTGTATAGATTATTTAGGTTAATCTTTCTATCTATCCAATGGGACTCAGTGCTCAGTCTAGAAGATACCATCAGAGATGCTTAGTTTTGCAGTTCTCAAACTACAGATTTGTGTCTTCAGAGGTAACATGCTTGTTAACAGAAAGAAAAAAACCACCACACCAGTAAAAACAAACATACAGAGGTGAGAAACAACAGACATCAGTTCTATTGTCCCTCTGCAAATTGGTGTACACAGAGTCAATCCCTTACTGCTCTGTAAAAGTGCAAAGTTTCAAAAAGTTCAATGAATAGAAGATTGTTGGGGGAGGAACAGATGTGGACAAGGAGAAGAAGTCTGGAGATAAATGTGAGAAGCGAGGGACCTATGCTTGTTTTGTTAAAATACTGTATGTTTGCTGTTGAGGAAAAAAATCCAGAATACTTAACGTTGTTGTTTTAGTTAAATAAAACAATTTATACATCTGTCTGGTGAGGTTCTCCTCTTAATACATCATGGCAAGAAAATCTTCCAAATATTAATGATTAACCTGTTGAATTGGAGATATTTATGAAGTCATTGGGAGGTGAACTATCTGCTTCAATTACCTTTGGTAAATGAAATAACTAAACAATCATTCATTTTCTGATATAGCTGTAAAACTAATCTGAAAAGTTTTCAAAATAAATCACTGTTTAAAAATGTATAGTGTGTACCTTCTAAAAATGAAGCCTACATCTAACTCTGAGTTGTGAAGATTATGTATTAAGGTTATAACAACCAACAAGAATACACTTTTATGTAGAAAACCATGATTAAATCGAGTCTTCCTGACTAGTGATTTAAATCAAATCCACCCTGGTCTTTGGCATGTTTACGTTCTGATTTTAAAGCTATACCTTGATGGATAGCTGGAGGTTCAATGTTTGCTAAAACAGAAAGCTACTGTAGAGGTGTTGATTGTAAAGTCCCCATGATGATTTGCATGGTCTGATTCAGCTGCCTATCCACAAATGGGGTATGGCAGCTTCTTGTCCACATCAATGCACAGTACTCTGCAACTAGGTACGCCAGGGCCAAGGCCGACATTTGTAGCACCAGGGCAGCGCACTTGCAACTAAGGCCCATAGCATTAAAGAAGCTGAAGTGACCCTTGTACTCCTCCATGATCTTATGGTCAGATATTTTCAAAAGTGACAGCTGAGACCAAAATCTGTAGTCTCTACTTTTTTCCACCTTGACAACAGAATCACACAAAACACACTCACTGTCAAGTTTGGTGGTGAAACTGTGCATTATGAACCAAAGCCAATAGACCTCAGTGTAATTACTGACCATACACTCACCTTTCAGGACCACCCCCAGAAAACAGCCTCTAAAGCAAAGACTTGCAACAATATTATACAAAAGTTAGCAGGACCAAGCTAGGGATTAGCAAACATTATTAAACGTTAGGTTTTATTCTTACCTCCACAAATGTAAATCATTGGCTGTTGCTTTGGAGGCTGAACATCCTTTTGGGAATCCATGTTCTATCAACAAGAAAAAAAAAATCCATGCTCTTGATTAGAGAGTAGGGATTGGAAGACAAAGACCTCTGAAGACAGCCCTAACGGCAATCCCATCTTCAGTCAACGTGCTAGATATCCTTCTTTGGATAAAGCTTGGGGAGCATTAGTCTCTCCCACTAATGAAAGATTTTGCTGCAACTATAAAAAAAATATCAACCATATATCACTTAAATCTCAATACTACTAACCTGTCATCATTTCGGGAACGGACAGCATCACTACTTGTACATACAGGATAAACCCAGCCACATTATTCCACCCACTTAAAACACTGTCTAATCCTGCACTAACTTTGATAGATATGCTGGACCGGAATGGGCAAATTACGGCCCGTGGGCCAGATCCAGCCCCTCAGGGCTTTGGATTCAGCCTGCGGGATTGCCCCCTGTGGTGCCGCAGGCCCTGCGCTTCTCTCAGAAGTGGCTGGCACCATGTGCCTAGGGCCCCAGGGGGACGGGAGAGAGGGCTCCATGCGTTGCCCTTGCCTCCAGGCACCACCCCCCACAGCTCCCATTGGCCAGAAACAGGGAACCGCGGCCAATGGGAGCTTTGAGGGAGGTACCTGGAGGCGTAGCAAGGGCAGCGCACAGAGCCCTGTGCCCCCCTCCTCCCCCCATGGGCCACGCAGGGACATGGTGCCAGCTGCTTCCTGGAGTGGTGCCGTGTGGGGCCAAGGCAGGCATGCAGGGAGCCTGCCCTGGAGCACGCCACAGCCACCCCGGAGCCGCTTTAGGTAAGTGGCGCTGGGCCAGAGCCTGAAACCCTCCTGCACCCCACCACCCAACTCCCTGCCCTAAGCCCCCTGCCTGCACCTTGCACCGCAACTCCCTGCCCTGAGCCCTGTCGTACCCTGCACCCCAACCCTCTTCCCGGAGCCCCCTCATACACCCCGCACCCCTCCTCTGCCCCAATCCCTTGCCCTGAGCCCGTTTCTGCACACCACACCCCCTCACAACCCACACTCCCTCCCGCACCCCAACCCCCTGCCCTAGTCCTGCATACAATTTCCCCACCCAGATGTGGCCCTTGGCCCAAAAAGTTTGCCCACCCCTGTGCTGGACAGAAACCCGCAGGTCAGAATCAGGCAGAAAGTAGTAGTACTTTGCCTCAGAATCCTAGGGTAGCTGGATCGGACTGCCAAATCAACCATCAGTGAAATAGTTAACAGGAACTTTTAAATAATCATTAACACCTAACTGTATTGAATCAGTTAGTTTAAACTCATTTTAGGACAAAATCTGTCCTCACAATGCCAGAATAAGATATTTTTGCACAGAGGATCTAGGCTCCATCTACTCCAGACTTTTAACAGAGTTTGTAACAATTCGTTTCACCATTGGCTCTAAACACAGTTGTGTCTATAACCATGGTTACTAGGATCTGGAAAGAGGACCAACTAAATCGGTTACACAGGAGATCCTATCCATACAGCAAAATAATATACTTGGTAATGGCAGACAACCATGTGCCAACTGAATACACTAGCAAGTGCCGCCATTATTTACCAAACATTAACCACATTGTGTAGATACAAACAACATTTAAAGTCAGAGATTTCAGTAATTGGTTATAGACTCCGTTAAACGTTATGCCATCGCCATGCACCTTGTCAATGCGTGTTCTGTAAGCAAACCAGCCCCGCCAGTAGCTGCCCAAGAACACACGGATATGAACGCAGCCAGGCAGGGTGATACGCTCAGACACGCGTCATGGGGGCACGACTGTGTTGTGAAGACACCTGCCGCATGGGTGAGACTCCGGCGAAAGTACTGTACCACAAATTGGCTTGACCTCTGTGCATCCTATGTGCCTTCGGTGTGGTGGCCTGTGTCTTCCCAGGGCCAGATCCGGGACCCTACACCACTTCCACCACGCTCCTCTGCGGAGCGCCCGCCCCGCGCAGGGCCGAGGAACCCCGGCGGCTTCCCCACGTGTTCAGAACCTGGCCTGCCAGCAGAACAGCGCCTGCCCCCGGGGCCGCGGTCTCTGCTCCGCCCCCGGCCCCGGCCCCGGCCCCGGCCCCGGCGGCAGGAGCGCGGCACAGGGACCATCGCCGGTTTGCTGAATAAACGCGCAGACTGTGCCCAGAGCGGGGTGGGGGCAGGATGCCGCCGCTCGCCCCTTCCGCACGCACAGAGAGCCTGGGCCTAACTGCGGGAAGAAGAGACACCCTGACCGCTCCCTACCTGTCCAGAGCGGGACCCGCTCCCCGCGCTCCGCTCCGCTCCTCTCGGGCCCAGGCTAGGGGCGGGACAGACCCCTCAGCCGACCGCCGAGTCGCGAGGCCTCCTCGCGAAACGCGCAGACGCAGCAAGCGGGGCCAGCTCCGCCCCAAGCTGCCCTGACGTAGGGACAAGGAGGAGTCGAGCTCGGGGTGGTCCCGGGGGCGGAGCCATTGCTCCAGCTACAGCAGGGCGGTGCTAGTCCAGCCGCAGCGCCTGCGTGCTGGGGCTGTCTGTGCTGTGCCCTGCAACTTCTCGGCCCCAGTACACTCTCGCGTCTCGCCCTAGCGCTTCCTGCCCCTGGGGCTGTGACTGCTCCTGAGCAGCTCCTCTCCCGTAGGCTGTTGCCGTCTCTCAACCTACAACTCCGAAACTATTATAACAATCTGCTTGAGGTGTTGTAACAGAGAATTTGGCAACGCTTCCACAGTTAAATGCAAATATAACTATGCATGAAACCAACGCTGTGATTTTAGTTATATAAAAGTAGGAAAAGCAAAGTTAAGGATTTGACAGCAACCCTCTCAACTCTCTTGTTTTATACGTATGCATTACAATAACGTTTTGTTTTATGAGCATGCTACATATGTGCATTTACATTTATAGAAAGTTTAGATCGAAAGAGTTAAGGAAGTTACACTGTACCTAAAAGATTCTTCGGAATATAATCAGATAAAATTTCTGAGTGGAGAGGAGAATATAGAAGAATCTGTGTGGATGAAAATCCCAAATCATAAGAATACAAATATGCGAGTGCAATTATATTACCAGTTTCCTGAACCAAAAAAAAGAATACTGTGGGGTACTGCAGCCATGAATTTCCCACCACCACCCCCTAGAACGGAGGGATAGATCAAGAAGTCACAGAGATGGCATAGCTGTTGTCACCCCTCTCTTGCAGGAGCTCCCCAGTGCAGGGATCATTCTGGAGGATACTTCAGGGACTGATGGCAAACTGATACTTTGAGTAATATGCAATACTACGCAACAGCTCATAAGGGCTATTGCAGCAGGGATGCAAATTAAGGGCTGCCCTAACCTGTGCAAAGGGGCTAAGCCAGTCCCCAGCAATGGGGAACTCAAGCCACCATCACCCTTAGATCTCTGCATTATTGTCCACACCAGCATGGAGTGAATCTGGTTTACGGAGCACATCACACGAAGGGAAACTGAGGCAACCAAAGGGGGTATCACCATTTTTCATTTTCAAAACAGGAATTTTTTTATGAAATATAAACTTACATATAAATAACTGCATGGATTTCATAAGCAAATGCAAAGAGAACTACAAGTTACAATGAAGTTGGAATCTACTGACCTCAGCAGAATATATTTGACTGTACCTGAGTTGGTCTATGTAGCTTGTGGAACGCAAACGGGACTCAGACATGATCACGTGACTGCAGAATTTTATCTCAAGGAGGGCTGGTCTTTGCCCTAAGCTGCTTTTTTATTTCAGAAGCCTATTACTTAAGCTCCACGCAGAAAGATCTAGGTAAATGAAAATATAGCTATATATTGTGTGGGTATTACCATATCCTCCCACATTAATTAATATAAACTTTCAAGCCAAAATACAGATATATTTTCAATGCAATAGAATGGGATTTTGTTATGAAATCAGTTTTCAACAGTTTCAGTGCATACATCAGCAGTCACAAACTAAATTGTGAAAAAAATGCCAACTGCTCTCTTATTCACAGGCTCAACACACTTTTTAGGATAAATCCTGTGTATATGATGGTCATTGTATAGGTTTAGCCATGGTACCTCAATGCCCCAAGAATTAAAATTTCCCCTACAACATAAATATTGTTAATCGTTCAGTAGTACTTGTGGCACCTTAGAGACTAACCAATTTATTTGAGCATAAGCTTTCGTGAGCTACAGTTAGTCTCTAAGGTGCCACAAGTACTCCTTTTAGCGAATACAGACTAACACGGCTGGTACTCTGAAACCTGTAAAACGTTCAGTATACATTCAGCACATCCATTAGGACCAGCATTCCTGAAAGAAACTTAGTTTGGTCTTTGTTGATTAAAACTATCAAACTTTTTGATATGTGTGATGGTTTTATGGTTTGGATATGTTTTCCAGATACTTGTTTGATATCGCCAAAATAACCTCATATATGATTGGTAGTATATACAAAATAAACTTTTTGGAGTTAAACTAGTTAATCATTTGGATTTACTTCATGTTTTCTAAGTTTGAATTTATCTTACAAATATTGTAAAAGGGGTAGAAAATGTACTGTAAAACAGAGCTAAGAAAAAACAACTCACATGTATAATAATTTTCACATTATTATTATATTTATTTTGACCATAGCACCAAAATTCTCTCCCCACCAAAAATTCAAATCTTAAAATAATCCAGAATTTTTAATAGAGGAAAAAATTTTAAAGTGCACTGGTGCAGTCACACACTACTAATAATAAAAACTGGTGATTTACCCAGCCAATCTCTGTAAGTGTCCTTAACCAGTATCAGCAGTGTCCATTCAGCCTCTTCCAGTTAGTTAACTGAGTGATTATTTCTTTTCAGTACACTTTAAGTGCATTACACTAGAGTTTTTTTACAAACTCATAAATTGTCCTCCTCCAGGGTCCATTCATATTGTCAAGGTAATCTATTCATAATCCAACTGTAAAAAAAGTCACTTTAACCATATAATTTGATTGAAAATAAGGTTTAATAAATTAAGCAATAAATTAATTATTTAACTTGTTCCCTTGAGAAAACTTGGGGTTTGAAAAAGACCTTAAGAGTTGACTTTGGTCACTAAACATGTTCCTGACAGACTCTGCCCTGACATGTGTAATTAACTGGGACCTTCCCTGTGGTGTAGTTTAAGTGCCAAAAGCATGTGCTTTGGATCTGTAGAAGAAGATGGAAGGGGTGTGTGAGGAGTAAGGTTAAAAATGCTCACTGCTTTATTTATTTAAAATATTCAGCATACAAAAGTTAAAAAAAAAACAACCTGTTCCATCCTTTTTTTGGAAAGCTGATTATTTCCCCCCCCTTTTATAAAAAGGGAAGATATATGGGGTATTTTTTGTTTTGAGGTGATTATGTTGTTAGTCTAAATCACCCTAATATGTCATGGACACGTATACTGCTATATGCAGTGTTGTTGTAGCCATGCTGGGCTCTGGATATTAGAGAGACAAAGTGGGTGAGTAAAAGTTGGGGTTCAATAAAAGATATTACCTCATCCACCTTGTCTCACTTATACTGCTGTCAATTTTCCTTCTTTGCTGCGTTTGTATGTTGATCAGGAGAGCACAAGCCCCTAAGTCCCACCACCACCATTTATTAGACCTTCTTACATTTTTTTGACTGAAGTAAAATAGTTCCACATGGGTTTGAATGTCAGAGGTGGGTTCTCCCACAACTTCTGGACAGGCTCATCTTTAAAAAGCTAAACTCTTGCCAATGATATGATACCCCCTCAAATGATTTTTATTTAGTCAAGGGATCTTCCAAATCTTATGAAACAGATATTGCTATAGTAAACATTTCCAGTCTATTTATTTTTAAAATACTCAAGTATTTTATTAATTTAGTTTCCCCCTTCTGTCTTTTTCTATTAGCTTTACACTCTCCAATAATAACTAAAGACTATCAAAATACTGTAATAGAAAGCTATTAAAAAATTCCCTCACAGAAGGTCAAAGAATAGTACCTATCAATATGTTGTTTTTTCTTTTGCCCCAATACTTCAGTTATATTCCCCAAATGGGTCAATCTGATACATTTGCAGTTGCATTAATCTAATATAATATGTTTTACATAAAAAGTGAAATAAATTTAAGAGTGTCCCATGCTTTGGTTTTGTAACCTTTTAAATAAGATTTCCTCAGGCTCCCAAAAGTTGTGAGGTTTTGCAGTCTGTCTCCTTATTGATATCATTCTCATCACACTGGTGTCAGAATATGTTGGTGTTTTGATTTAAAAGGTAGGAAAAATGGAAGCTGGTGTGAAAAGGGGGAGAGGGTAAGCACACTTGCCAAACGTCACGCCTGGGGATTTTGGCTTTACGATATTTCGGAGTCCTTCCCTCTTGTTGGGATGGATTTTGATGTTTGTTTCAATGAGACATTTAAATCCAATATTTTTTTTTTCAAATCACTAATTCAGATTTGGCCCTGTCCTAAAGATGGGAGAAAAATGGAGGTTGAAAGGGGAAAAGAGCCAAGTAAAGACTAAAATTTTAAGGAGAACCAGGGGTGAAAGTAAGTTAGAAGACTTACCGGTATGCCAGAATCCTAGGCAGAGGGCATGGCCTCAACCAGAAGGGGCAGGGCCTTAAATCCCCAGGCCCTTAAGATTTAAAGTGCCCAGGGCTCCAGCTGCAGTAGTGGTGGCTGGGAGCCCGGGGCTCTTTAAATCACCCTTGAGCTACCAGTTGGAGCTCCAGGGCCCTTTAAATCCCTGCTAGACCCCCGCCACCGCTACCCCCGGGCTTCGGCAGCAGGGCTCAGGTGGAGATTCAAAGGGCTTGGGGCTCCGGCAGCCGCTACCACCCCGGCCCTTTAAATTCCCTCCGGAGCCCCACGGCCACTACCCTAGGGCTTTGGCAGCAGGGCTCCAGTGGGATTTAAAAAGCTGGGGCAGTAGCAGTGGCTGGAGCTCCAGGGTCCTTTAAATCCCCGCTGAAGCCCCGCAAC